AAAAATCTGGCAATCTGTGAGTTCGCATGTTCGATCAGCTGCTCAGATATAATACAACTGTAAGATAAACCAGACGATGGCCTTGAAATATTTTTTATATTTTGCTTGATTGATACAGTTAAAATAAACTTTAGATGATGTTATTGAACGAATGCTAACAAATAATAAACAGTTTATTTTGTCTAACCATCAAAGTGGCGATCTTTCTCGAGTTTTTTTACCATGTACTTTTCCTTCAACCACCAATCTGTCCATACCTTCCCTTCGTCTAGCTAAGTGTCCAAAATAACTTAACATATTGTGAGAGCATGCATCATTCTACGAGAGACCCACATTTTAAATGCCATTATACGTTACGAGACAGACTTTTTGATGGTCCAAGCTTCTCCTGCGTCGGTACCTCCAGGCGTAGTGTGGTATTCTTAGTTATAACCGTATCTTTTCAGATTTTAGTAAGTTTGAGCGTTGCTGATCTGGCCATTGTAAGGCATCTTCCAAGGTTTGCAATAATAGAGCCCAAGTAACTGAAACGACTTACTACTTGATCTCCTGCTACATTTATTACTTCCAGCTGGTTATTTCTAGTTAGATCAATGATACACCACATCATTATGATCACCACATACAGTATTGTGCGAATTAATGGAATCACTGTGAATTTTTTTTCATTTTTTCAATATTCACAGTTGGCAACACTACCTACACAGTTGACAGCTGACCAAGCATTGAAAACATAACCTTACTGTGTGTTGGTGTGTTTGAGTGTGTTTTAGGTCATTTCTTACCAAGCTTGTGTTGTTTTGGGGGTTTTTGTACTATTTTGTGTTGTTTTTGGTTTTATTCCAACATGGATATTACGCCTAGGAAGCGTGAAAAGATTGTCACGTTGAGTGAACACACTAGTATGTCACAAAGAGAGATTGCTAGAACGTGTGGAGTGAGTCAGGGGTAGTAAGCAAAATTTTGAAGCGTAAACGAGAAACGGGATCAGTGGATGTGAAAAGGTTAGGAAAATGTGGAAGAAAGAGAAAAACAACACCAGCAGATGATAGATTTTTACTTCGAAAGAGCAAATTGGACCCAAGAAAATCAAGCCAAGACCTACAACAAGATCTAGCAGCATCAGCTATAGTGATTCATGACTCAACTGTTCGTAGAAGACTTTTGGAGAATGGTAGAAGGGCAATTCGTCCACAGAAAAAACAGCTTCTAACTGAACGAATGAAGAAACAAAGGCTACTATGGGCCAAAAAATACTCTAATTGGACTGTAGGCGACTGGAAAAAAGTCCTATTTACAGATGAAACCCACTTTATAGTTCAGGGACAGCGGTCGAAATTCGTCAGGAAGTCTGACAATGAAAAGCTTACACCATCTCATATTGATCAAACCGTAAAACATCCAGTCAAGAAAATGTTTTGGGGATGTTTTTCATACATGGGGGTTGGATCTTTGGTGCCAATTGAAGGCATGATGAACAGCCAAAAATACAAATCCATGTTGGAAAAGTATTTGGACAAACAACTCCAAAAATGTCAACCCCAAGGAGGAGCGATTCTTCAACAGGACTCTGCTCCCTGTCACAAATCAAAGGAAATGATGGCATTTTTCAAAAATAAGAAGATTAATGTTTTAGATTGGCCCGGTAATTCGCCCGACCTCAACCCATTGAAAATTTATGGGCCATTTGCAAAGCTAGACTGCGAAAAATCGACTGTACCACTAAAACAAAAATGATAGAAGCGGCCATTCAGGTTTGGTATCGAGATGAAATGATATCTGACAACTGCCAGAAACTCATAGAATCTATGCCAAAACGGGTAAAAGCAGTAATTGCTGCCAAAGGGGGACATATTTCCTACTGAATGATGTAAGTTTACCTTTATAGTTTTGTCAAAATATAATTTTTTACTAAATAAACTGTTTTTTCATTAAAACAGCCTATGATTCCATTAATTCGCACAATACTGTAATGTTGTTGAAGCGTTCGATCTGCACGCAAAATCATAAAAATTAAAATTCCTTGCAACAAATTCGAAGTTTTCCTAAAAAATGATTGTGATTTTCCAACCTATATTTATATATTCATTTTAATAAATCAATATTTCACGCTGTAGAAGTTTAAAAATAATAAAATTTTCCAGTTCAATTAATTTCCCGGTAGCACCTCTTCTGGGAAATTTTATATTTCCTATTGCTTTTGTTTCGTTATAAATGAATTTTTTATATATATGCATTTAATATGTTGATTGTTTTTACGAAAATTGATATATTTCAAAGTATCAATGCTGTAATTATATAAAAAATCTCGCTATCCTTGTTCTTACCTAGATTATCGATGTGCTAAACACCTTGAAATATCGAATTGTACTATCTGGTATGTTTTATTACCTTTATTAAACATTCCGTACATGATCTTATAGAACACGGCGCCGTTGCCAGATTTGGAATAAAACAGAGACTTTATGAAAAATACGAAAAATGATCTTTTAAGAACTTACAGGATAAATGTTGAAAATATTATTAATATAAAATAATAGTACATTATTGCCTTTATTTTTATATATTTACACCAGTAAACTTTCTGGTTTTAATCCGATAAAATGATTATAAATTCGTTATCATTAATTGACCTTTTAAATCTACCTCCTATTTTTTCTAGACACCTTCTGGCATATCTACCTTTACTTTTTTAAGTTTCCTACGCTACAAACATTTAATTTGTAATTCTAGTTTACAAACATTTAATAACACGTTTCTTATTATTACTATTATTCTATATTACATATGTTTTTACTTTCAATATGTTTTTGTGCTCTAAATAATGAAATATTATCACCATCAGTGGCATTATGTCAGAGCCAAAGCCTTCTTCAGAACAATCCTCCACATTCAACCCATGTCTGTGGCAAGTGCAACTCTTCTCCATGCTACGGATATTATTTCCTGCCATGGCTCGTTTGACCATAGATGATATCCTATCAATTAAAGCTACGTACATCCTAGCAGAAAGGTTGTTCTCCAGAGCCAGCTTGACCATGATTAAACAAAGAAGCCGGCCCATCGAGGATTCAGTGGCTGCAAACCTGTAAAATAAATGGATATTGGATACCTGTTTGTTCAATTATGTTAAGATACACTGTCGCAATTAAGTCGGCACCAAACGGAACTTTTTTATTTTTTAGTTTTATGAAAAAAGTTCTTTATAAAGCTCTGAAGTTTTAAAACCTAAAATACAAAATACATCAGATATTAATTTTTTTAGCCGTATACGCAATTTGTCAAAAAATATGCATTTTATGAGTAAAGGTACATCTATCTTTAACAATATTTATAATCGTTATTAAGAAAATTAAAAAAAAAACAAAATATGTTATGAAAATGAAAATATAAAAAATAGAATATGAAAAAAATATAAATATTAAATTTGTCTTTATACCTACCATTATGTATTATAAAAATATATTTACTTATTTAGAAAATATAATTTAAGTTATCTTTGCGGAACAACGGGACACAGGGCGGGACAGGAAACATAGGCTGTGGGACGGAAAAACGCGGGACAAAAGCCTGCCATAATCGTTATTAAGAAAATTAAAAAAATAAACAAAATATGCTCAGAAAAAAATATAAATATTAAATTTGTCTTTATACCTTACAATTATGTATTATAAACGTATATTTACTTATTTAGAAAATATAATTTAAGTAAGCTTTGCGGAACAACGGGACACGGAGCGGGACAGCGAAAATAGCTGGGGGATGGAAAAAACGCGGGACAAAAGCCTGTCCCGCTGTCCCGCGTGAAATCCTAACGATCAAATACCATGAGTACAAAGAAATCGGTAGAGTTCACAACATTTTAGCTCCTTTGGATATAATTCCTTTACGTATAATATTGATTGAAAACAGTAATAAATATATTAAGAAAATAAAGAGGGGCACGTGAGATGGAAATTTGAGAAAGTAATGACATTTAACTACCTGATATTGACCTGGAAAAATTCAAGAAAGAATTGTAAAAGAAAACCAAGAGTTCGGCAGAGACGAACTTGCTTTAAAATATAAAACTAACTAAAAAGACAAAAATAAAGACATACACAACATTGATGCGACCAGTTATCATATACGCGATGGACAGAACAGTGATGAACAAAAAAGAAGAAAACTTAACAAGAAATAATGAGAACCATTTAGGAGCTTACAATAACCACATGAAGAGAAAGAAGAATAAAAAGAAACTCAGGCATAGACAGAGAGTTAGGAAACGAAAATATTGTGAAATATTAATTAAATCAGCACTCTTGACATGGATAGGAAATATTATCGGAAGACCGACAAACGAGAAAATAAATAAAGGTTGCGAAATGGACCGCAATCCAACAAAGGAGCCAAGGAAGACTGGGAAAAGATGGTGAGATGACATGTAAAAACCATGCAAATAAAATCATGAAACAGAAAATCTCTGAGAAAAAGGACTAGTCTACCTCAGAATGAGATGAATAAGAGGCGAAGGCGTAATCTACAATGTTTTAAAATCATCCTTTTTCTCACTACAAAGTACCCCTATGCTACTTTATTGATTAAATTGTTCACCTTGTAGAATAATTATTAAAAGCGTATTGAGGAAGATTAATGACATTCGGAAGTGTTGGTAATGGTGGGTATTCCCTGTAATAATAATATTAATAACAATAATCCAACATCACTTTCTGAGTGTCGAGTATCCACACACAAAGGACGTTGATCTCGCTATAACATCTGGTGGAGGAGCCCAAGTTTTTCACAGTCTAGTCAACTGAAAGTAAAACAACAAATAGTAAGTTGACTGTTAGGATATAAGTCTCGATAGAAACTTCGTATTTTTTCGCGTAGAGCGATTATTTCGATTTCGGCACTTCTAGTACTTGTGCTAAAAATAATAATCGCAATGTGCGCCACCTCTGATCTAAATAAAGCTTCGGTGGGCGACAAATGAAAATTTCCACTTGGCCATTTTCATTTTTCGACAAGTCGAGCCTCGGACAAGTCGTGCTCGACTTTTAACTTTTTTTTATTTTTTACGAACGAACGAATCGCTATCGATCGGTAGTATCGATTTCTTTACGAATTTTTACGCATACGTATACGCAACAAGTTTTTTCGTGCGAATTTTTGTTTTTTTTTTGTCATTTTTGCGTGTTTTATTTTCATACTTACGATAATTTCCTCCGAAATGGCGTTTTTGGATCAGAAGGAAATCACTCATTTCCTTGCTCAGGAGTTATTATATCAGCAGGTAATTGACAAGTGACTTATTATAAAATATTAAATATATTTGTAAAATTAACAATTTTCTAAATGAGTATATTTTGAATACAATATATTTCTGTGAATATGTTAATAATATGTAATAGTAAACCTAAGTTGCTACTAATTATTATTGTTAGGAATGTTTATTTGCCAGTGGACAAATATTTTTTATGTTTATTTTTTATTTCGTATTTGTTGTATGTATTCCATTTATTCTCTTTTACATTCTAACTAAAGTATTATAAACATTCATTCGTATCTTCTATATTTCAGGTCCGATAACTTGGTCCAATAATATTATTATTTCATTTTTGAACAACATATGTATGTCTATTAAGGGCCGTATGACTTCAAGCTCCAAACGTCTTTCGTTATTCTTAGAAAGTTTACCTTAATCTGTCTTTGAATTTGTTTTTTTTTCATACGTCGAATTTCTTTTTGTTGATTTCTCTGAATTTTTTTATTGTCAAAAAATAAATATATTTAGATAATCTTTCTCGTCATACTCGTTAAATTACAAATACTATTTAAATTTAAAGATGAGCGCTCCATGGATTTAAATTTAATTCAAACAAAAATTGTCTGTGATACTCGTATCATTGAATTTCTTTATTCGTTTGAAAGGCCTCCCGATGCCATTATGTATGGCATATAACATCGTTCAAATCTCCGCTGAGGCTTCTAGGTGACGCGCACCTGAAATGTCCAATTTGCCATGACTCTGAATTTAATCGATGGCATCGGTTGCTTTGAGGGCTGCGGTGGTTTGTGCTTTATTTGCAAAGACTTGCGACCTGAAACTAAATCTATCGTGCAGAATGTCCAATATAGCATAAGCTGTGTGACACAGCTGAAACCCCAATATGGTTTTCAGAACAGATCGAATAGCTTTCAGTGCATTCCAAAGATCGGTTATTCACGGTCCATATTTCTTTGGGAATGATGCTGGCCAGACCATCACCATCAACTGCGAGAGCTGACATGAAATATCATGTCTTTGGTGTCCATATATCATCCAATTCCTTTCGTAATTGATGGTGATGGCTTGGCCAACGTCATTCTCAAAGAATATGAACCGACGAAGGCGGAATCTTTAGAATGCACTGAACACTCTTGGATCTGATCTGCATTGGTATCGCCCCACATTCGACAGTCTATTTGTTCACGTACCCATTCATCCAAAAGTAGGCCTCAGTTAAATTTTAGATCAGTTCAGACCCGTCACGATGCAAGATTCGATAAATTGTGGTCTGTGCTAAACCGATTTTTTTGAGTGATGTGAAATCGACTATCTCGAATTATCACATATAGCGGCGATGTTTTCGGCAAATTTTGTATTTCGACGTACGGGTGTTGGTTGATTCTTTATTGAACCATTGGACTTAAGTGTATCAAACAGACTGAGGTGATTATGTGGAACGTAAAATGGACGAAGCGCGCAAAAGGCTACCTGATCCAAACACCCATATAACAATTTTGTGTTACATCCATCCATGATGATTTGACAAAATAGTCTGAATGAATGACAGTCAACTTGACAGATGTACATCTGTCGACTGTCAACATTTGGAAGTCCCTATTGGAAAACCCTGTGTATCATTCCTGCTGATACTATTTCATTTCCCCTTCATGACTAATTCCTTTGCATGATGACTTTATTTTCATTTATTTTTTACTATCTTTAACGGGAATTCATCACAATTTCAATTGAAAATATTTTTATTTTGACGCTTCGATTTTCACTTGGGATAAATCGTTGCGCGTTGTTTGGAGGTTGGTTTTTGGAAGGTTCGTTCTGATTTGCCATATTATTGGAGACACGAGAACCGATGCGTTTATCGGTTTTTCTTGAATTTGAATGACTGGTTTTACTTTCTGGTTGTACGTAAGCCAACAATTCATCACCATTCACAATGTTTTTAATTTTCTGATATAAAGTGGTTTTTTTGGACACTTATTAACCTCTGCTGCTTTGTGTTTCGGTTAATTGTATGAAAATTTGGATTTACGTTCTACTTACCCTCCAGTTTACTTTTGGACTTGTACCGTTGGTTGCCTTTTATTTTTTAGGGGTGAAAACTACTCCTAAGAAGGGTAATTTTTGGAGAATTTAGAAAAAATCTTATAGTTCTTAATTATAAGGCGGATAATTTATTCAACTCATCGTTTAATGACGTCAATTAACATTAAAAAACACAATTTAAGATTTTTATACAGTTAACCCCTAATTAAAACAATGTCATTGAATACCTTATCTCCACTGATTTGCATGGAAATTTGGATTTACGTTATACTTACAGTTCATTCAAAATTGGACTGGGCAGTTGGTTGCTTTTTATTTTTTCTTATATCTCTTATGTGATTATGTGATTTTTTTACTCATGACTGTTAGCTTTAAAGCTATGAAGTAAAAAAAACATTTTATAGGGTTTTTAAGGGCAATTAGATCTTAAGTTAATTTTTTAAACCCTTATTTTTGAAAGGGTTGTAGTTTAAAGAGCTTGAACTAGTCACTAATGATGAGTGTATGCAAACTTTGAACAGCCATATATTACAAATAACTTAACAAATAGAACTACCAACATAACTTAAAAAAACTTACTTTTCATGAGCTCTGCTTCTATTTGGTCTTCATAGACTTCATAAGTACACAATTTTTTTTTGTTTCTTTATAAGCTATATCTCAATATTGTTCTAAAGCTATTTTCTTTTGGCATTGTAAATTAATTACTATTAAACTGGGAATAAGCCACAATTAAAGATAAAAATACGTTTATTGTCCTTTCAATTTCCACTTCGGAAATCGTTCTCAAAATACAAACAGTAGTTTGTATTTTGAGAACGATTTCCGAAGTGGAAATTGAAACGTCAATAAATGTATTTTCATCTTTAATTGTGGCTTATTCCCAGTTTAATAGTAATTAAGCTATATCTCTGCTAAGAATATTTCTTTCTTATCTATATTAATGATCTAGTGTACTCCCAAAATGAAACAGTTAACTCTGTTTTATTTGATGATGACACTACTTTATATACAACCTATCACCCTTCTAAATTCGACATCCTTGATTAGCAAACATCTGAAAAAAAATTATTCGATTGGTTTTTAACTAACCGTCTCTCTTTGAACAACTCTAAATCACAAAGTGTTAATTTTACTTTAAGAAATAACAGTTGTGTTGAAAACGTTGCTCTACCACAATGTGTAACGGAAGCGAAATTTATGGGGATATAATTCGATGCAGGATTAACCTGGGAACAACATATAGTTAATCTATTGAAAAAGCTTTCACAACTTTTCCTCTTCATGAACCTTGTACAAGTGACTTTCAGGGAAACTATTTTAACAGCTTATCATAGTAATTTTCATTCTCATCTGACATATGCTATTCTCTTCTGGGGCCACTCTTGTCATAAAGTGTTTCCACAACAAAGAAAGTGTCTTCGTATTATCTCTTTGCTCTGTTATAGAGCAGACTGTAGAAACTCCTTTAATGCTTTAAAATTTTTGACTTTACCTTGTGTATTAATTATGCAGTGTCTGTTGCACATTAAACAAAATCTTAGCCAATACAATGCGCACGTAGATTTTTATAATTATCCCACCAGATTTAACAATAATCTTATACCAGAATTTGGCCGACTTGAGAGATCCAGAAATGGTTCAAGGTATTTAACCATAAAATTCTAAAACTTAGTGCCAGTTAGAATAAAAGCTCTTAATTTTCGTCAGTTTAAAGCAAAAATTAAGTTTGAAAACCTGTGTGAAAACGGGGTTTTGATTTTGAACACCGAACATTTTCCCTCGTAAATAACTCAACTATTTACTTCTATAAAAACTCTCTAGAACAAAAGTTGCTTAGAATTAGTCAATTTATCCATTTGCAGACTTGGAGTTACGCAAACCAAAACAGTTTGCACTGATAAATAATGTTACATTTCTGTTATTTTCATAGCTGATATAACTTGTTTTGATTTTCGAAAAATCGACGTTTCAGTATTTCTCTGAAGCGATTAATTGGTATTAAGAAGTTTGTTTTTGTCGTACTGTGCACATCTATTTTCGTCAATAGTAAAAAACATTGGCGAACTCGCAACTTTTATTTCCTATAAGTTAATGATCTATTTATAGGCGTGAATAATGTTCCTACTAGCGTGTATCTAATTTTAATACACGTTTACTTACATCTCTAGTCGTCGGGGATACTACGTTGTTTTTATTTTTATTTGTCTTTTGCATTTAGCATAACCACTGCATTAACATAATTAAGTTGTATATATTTGCTGTTACTTAGAGTTAATGATAATGCACAAAATATACTAGATGATAAAAAAATCAACAAAAGGAAATTGTAAACGAAAAATTAGTAAGCAAAAACAAAAATAACCATCAGTAAACAGTTTCAGCATTATTAAAGTTTTAACCATGTTATTAATAAATTCTAGTTTGGAAATTCATTATTAAAGTTTTAACCATGTTATTAAGAAATTCTAGGACGTTTCAATTTCCGAATTGGAAATTGAAACGTCAATAAACGTATTTTTATCTTTAATTGTGGCTTATTCCCAGTTATAAATAGTAATTAATTTACAATGCCACAAGAAAATAGCTTCAGAACAATACCAATTTCTCTTCCAGATAACTTATTCGGTACTTTATTTGCCATAAAATATCGTTTGGGCAAACATATATTCATCCTAAAAACGAGCTTATATAAATAAATGGGCTTATATAAAGGAGTTTTAGTATATAATATGTAATTTAAAATAAAAGTTGAAACTTTCTCTAAATTTTTATACTTTTGCATATGACATTTTACTATATATTATTTTTTTATTTACAGTTTATAACTCTTGAAGGCCTCAATTCCGGAGTCCCAACTCGAACCACACCTACTTTGACTCCAACCACGTTACGAAACATTGAGCAAACTTTTATTGAGCTCCAATCGAAACCCGAGAGCCACGAAAATGAAGCGGGATTTGTACCACCAATAGTGCATTCTTTAGGTAAGTTTAAAGAAACATTTTATATAAAAGGGTAATAAAAGAGTACAAACGTTTGTTGGATCGTTTTTGGATTAAGCTGTCCTTCCAATTGAATGCACTTTTTGACAGTTGATTGAAAATTTCAGAAATGGATGTCAAAGGATCTGTTTTTAGTCTATCAATTCTTGTATCAGGGTCATGAAATCACAAATACATAAGAAGAAACGTAATCTGTTTGCATTTATATCACATTGAAATCTGTCTCTATCTGACCCGTCCACCCAATACTTATCCATATTACGAAGATCTCTGGACTATGTTAAAAATTTTTGACCGTGTTTTGAAATACGTATGTCTAATTTAGTCCATTCTAAAATAACTCTAGGACATTTTACTACAAATCTATGTTATAAAGTGCTGATTGATGTACAAGTTTCTTAGACAATCTAAAGCGACAATCTAAAGATTTTTACCGTAGAAAAACTTTTCACGTTCTTCTTTAGGTAAGGTTCTTGTTCAGGTAGAGGTTCTTCTTCATCGTCTGCTTAGATTTCACTGTATGTTTCGTTCTCACTAAGACTAGATTAGATTAAGAGAGGTGGCCTTTCCGCTGACTCCACTGCGACCTTTTCAGATCTACTGTGGTCTGTAGCCTGACCTTTTTTATAAAGTCTAGTAGCTTTGAGACTGTACCTTCCATGTAGCTGTTTGCCGGTGGATTTTCTTCTTCTAATGCAAAGAACCGCACATTTGCCAGACTGTCACACTGACATAAAATGTGCCCTGCTTTTTTTTTTCTTCGAGGTGACAGAATCTGCACAGGTCATCATCTGATAATCCCGTTAGCTTCAAGTGCCTATTCAGCTTATAGTGCCCTGTTAGAAGACCTACTATGTCTATGACTGTTTTCCTGTCTTTGCTTATTAGGCGTGCAGTAAATTTTGGCGAATGTTTTGTAATGAACTTTTTCGCCTGTCTTTGTAATGGTGAATTCCTCCACCATTACAGAGATTTGTAAGCTACTTCCTTGTAGCCGTTCTTGTTACTGACTTTGCAACACCGCAGAAGGATTCAGGTCTAATGAATGGCATTGATGAGCCTTGTTTGGTCATTTCATCTGCTTTTTCATTGCGCTTATGACCCTCGTGCCCCGGTTCACAGGCTACCGTATCCTTGCTACGGTCTCCTAGTTTATTTAGGGCACACACGCAATCCCATATTAGCTTATAATTGAGTGCCTTAACCGCTGCCTGACTATCTGTGAAGATGGCAACTGGACAGAGCGTTCTTTCTTGCCTTTCTATTTCTTCCACGCAGTGATGGATTGCAGTTATTTCCGCCTGGAAAACTGTCACATCCTTAGATAGACTTACCGGGAAATGTATCCCTTGATTTGTCCCTACTATGCCGGCTCTCACACCCTCCGATGTTTTAGAGCCACCCGTGTACCAGGTAGCAGCAGCTTTTATCGGTACACCTTTATTCCAGTCTTCTCCTGCCTGGTATCTTAATTGTGAATTTATTGTTGAAACTATATCTCGTAGCTGTTGCATCGATAGGTTTCTCCATCACATTATCGGCTTTTAGCTTCTCGATTAGCTTTCTGTTGTCAGTACCATGCATCTGGCTTATATGTCGCTGACTATGGATTAATCTGTGCATCATTGATCTGGCTTCGTCCTGTATAAAGATATGAAGTGGTGGTAGATTCGACAGAACTTCCAACGATGCAGTAGTTATTGTTTTTATGGCCCTCCTAATACATAGGCATGCTAGCCTTAGTGTATTACCTAGCAGCCTTATTGCTCCCACTTGCTGCGTCTTGTAGACCTGTAGACCTTGGCCTAGTGAGCCTTTGGTCTATGATTGTTTGCCTATCTCCATCATCCAGAATTGAGCTGGGAAAGTGCTTGTTTATCAGTTCTCTAAGACTTTCCTCTTTGGTGTCCGTAAATTTGCCATTAGCTTTCTTTAGGAAACCTATTTCTTTCGTTGTAGCACCATCCTTTGCCAGGACTTTACGGATTCGAGAACATGCCGGGATATCTGTAATCTCCACGCAAAACTCTTCATGAATTTCTTTTAGTTTTCCGGATTTCTTTATTGCATTAGCTTACACCTGTAGGCATCCCAATCTTGGTTACTGTTGGCTTTATTAAATAGGCTTCGAACTTCCGACCTCAGCCTCTTTAAGCTGTTGTTTCACCAGACTGTATTAATGCCCGTGCTTTTCTTTGTTTTTTCTGGACAGTTTTCCTGGTAAGCTGCCTGGTTCGTGCTCACTTAGTATAAAGTCACTGTCAGAATGAACATCGCTAAAATTACAGTCATCTTCTGCCAAATTTTAGCAGTCTAGACAAAAACTAAACGACCTGTCCCAGACACTGAATATTTCTTTATCAGACATTATTTACTACACTTGAGTTCGAACCGGTATGGTGCGCGATTTGGAAAAGTATTTTGAATTCGAAAAAAGAATATGTCTGAGACGTCACGTCTTTAATTACAGACTGTCATTACGAATCATCAAGATTTTTTGTTCTTACAGTATATAAATAGCTATCAACAATTACGTCAAAATCTTTTCTTCTAATTTTATCCTAAAAACAAACAGTTTTCTGACAACAATTGATAACAGCAGCCTAAATATAAAATAACTGATAAAACAGTTATTAAAACTAACACAAAACTTTCCTTGACATTTTTTTTTTATTAACAATAGCTTATTGTATAAATACATTTAAAAAACTTCGTATCTCCGTATTAGGCTAATGTTCATTGAAGTTTAACGATACGCTCAACCTTGATAAGGAATGACAATTTCTTTGTTTTTGTTATCCTCACTAGTATTTTCCCATAGTTATTTAGATTTAATTCAGGTTTAATAATGTGCGTCAAGCATCTACGGAACGAATGGATAATATCAGCTTTTATTTTTACATTTTTATAGACACCATATAAGAAAAACAGTTGCGAAATAGGTGTACGTTAAAGATTGCAAGAAAAATATAATTCCATGAAAATGTACAAGAAAAAAAAGTTTTTGCAAAGTTTAATTCGTGGTAACAATAATATAAATGGAGACACTTATGAAGAAAGTATATGACATTGGTGTTTTACAGTTAGTGAAATTGGTTAATAAAAAAAGTGAAGTGGAACATCTTTAAATATTAGTGGCGTCGTGGTTTTTAAGATAAAATAGGTAGTTATTGAGGTTATTAATATGTGAAATATTTATTTTACACAAATTTTCTTTCCGGGTTCTTATTGCACTTTTTACCATGATTGTACTTAATATTTCTCTATTCTGCATTGCTTTTATAGTTTTTCTTATATCATCGTATATATGTGTGGTCGGCGGACAAAAGCAGACAAGTCCAAATTTGAGTTTTTTTAAGAAGTGATAAAAACTATTTTAAACGCATTAAACGCATGAGTAAATGTAGCTTTTATTAAGGCTACATGTATTACAATACAAATTAAAAACAACATAAACGTTAAAAATTTTGGATTTTGATTGGCTTATCCAGTTGGTACGTCTTTGTTTATTGACTTATAAGGTATAAATGAAGTACAATTTTTTTTTATTGAGTTTAATGCGTCGACAACTAATGGTCATTGGCATGGTACAGTGAATTTTTACAGTCATGTACCTAGTGTAGAGTGTAGTGTGTGTGTAGAGTAATTGACTTGATAATTAGCAAAGTCGACGTCATTGTCTTTGCTAAGAGACGCTAATTGTATCCGAACGTCTGCGGTCCCTCCGGTGAGTACCGATCGCACAAGGATAGAAATTATTTTCATCTATTAATTTTTAATAAACGTAAATTTCTCCACCCAGGTGAAATTTCTCCACCCAACTCACGACCTTTAGGTTCAAAGGTCAAAAATACAAACCAATACAAAAATACAATTTTAAAAGAACAAAAGCATAAAGTTTGAATTAATTTATTTCTTCATCATTACTTACAAGATCGGAGTGAGTATTTTGAGTTGTAGCATTTGTATGCAAGCCTTGATAAAAACTGTGAAATAATGTAGGAATTAGAGTCAGTAGCGAGATAATGTCTGCTTTTACCTCTCTAGAAATAGGGACTGGTTGATTAGTTATAATTGAAACTTCCTAAGGTAGTTGACACCCTATTCTGTTGAAATCAATAGTCTTAAATTTGTCTTCTCTATTAAGGTTGTCTTTGAATTGGAATATTATCAAGTCTTTCGTATATCGAAGCCATCTTTTGTTCAGCCATGGGAATTGACAACCATCATTGTCTTTATTTCTTAGTACCATGCTACTTTTAAGTCTATCTATCTATCTAATTAGCCTTCTTCGGTTCATCTTTGGACATAGGCCTCCCCAATCCTTTTCCATTCTTCTCTGTCTGTCGCTACAGTCATCCACCTAGAGCCCACGTGCTTCTTGATATCATCTGCCCATCTCATTTGGGGCCTTTCTCTGCTTCGTTTATATTCCCACGGTCTCCAACTTATAAGAATTTTGTTCCATCGGTCTTCTTTTTGTCTTATATTGTGTCCGGCAAATCTCCATTTAAATTTTGCAACTTCTTGTCTAACATCCCTCATTTTGTTTTCTCTCTTATCCACTCGTTTCTCTTCTTATCCATTAGTCTTATGTGCAACATTTGTCTTTCCATTGCTCTTTGGGTTTTTATGAGTTTGTCCATGTTTGCTTTTGTAGATGTCCACGTTTGGGAACCATAAGTAAGAACAGGGAGTACGCATTGATTATATACTTTGGTCTTAAGATGCTGTGGATATCTTTTGTTTTTAAGAATGTAGCTTAGTTTGCCAAATGCTGCCCATGCCAGTCTAACTCGTCTCTTGATCTCTGCCGTTTGGTTCTCTTTAAGTTTTATGATGTCTTCATCTGTATTTGTTATAGTTTTGGTCTTGCTGTAATTCATATTAAGGCCTATCTTTCCAGCTTCTACGTCCAGTTCTTTCATCATTTCAAATAATTCTTCTTTTTTATCGGTTATCAATACGATGTCATCAGCGTA